TAATTCTGAATAACAAACCACTTCTTTAGCTCACTCATTTCAGCCCACACTGGAAGTGTGACTCTTGGTCAACATCCCTCCTCTTGGGCGCAGCTGTGTCTTAGGGGTTGAGGCTGTGTGCGCCCCATGCCGGCAGAGAGCACTCTCCAGGTGTCTTGCTGTTATCTTCACACTTACCTGCAGGCTGCAGTGTTGCCATGATGATCACCCAGCCCGTGCACCAGGTTGGGTTTTCCGAGTGTACAAACAGGTTGGGTGGAGGTTTCAGATAGACACTGAATTCCTAGAGCAGACAAAGGAAATGTGGGAGGTTAGCGCTGAGCTCCAAGAATAAAGTCAAGCAAGCCAAATGCCTTCACGAGGCCCCCACAATGTTTGTTAAAAAACTCACCGCTGGGCTTTCTGACCTCAGTTTTTTCATCTGCAGAATCCATGGGCTAGCTGTGGGTATATCTAAGGCTAATTCTTTACCCTGAAGATTCAGGTTCTGGATATATGTTTCATTAAAAGTATCTAGGGCCTCAGTAGTTTAGAACTCTGATTTTGCACAATTCTGATGAAAGTATAAAATGTGTGAATATGAGGGCAGCAATCTTGGTAATAAGGAAAAGCCTGGGATAGGGCTAGAAACCTGGTAGTCACAGAGGCCCTCCAGGGGGTCCCTTCCCATTGATCATCGTGGCTAGGGCAGTCAGAGCGTGCTGGCCTCCTGGAGTTCATACAGCAACAAAAACAACAAGAAACCCAGCAGCAGGGACAGAAAATCCCCGTGAAGTCTGTCTTCTGCGGCTAACTCTCAGTCCACCCCTCTCTCTCCACATCTTGGCCTTCCCTCCCCAACCCCACTCACACCCTTCCAGGGGAGAATGTGCAAGGAATGTCTCCTTTCCTGAAAGCAAAGGAATACAGTAGTGCCACCTGGGTCTGAAAGGCCCTTGGTTCTGCTGTTTAATGACTAATTATGATGCTATGAGAGGCCTATGCGGCTCTGGTGGAGCCAGGCCCTCCTGCCCCAGCCGAGCTGAGCGGCTGGAAGTGTATAATCTTCAGAAAGCTGTGACTGCGACCTGGAGTTGCGTAAGAAATAATTGCAGAATCCAGCCAGGGCTTGCTTCTTGCCACAGGCTCCAGGCTTTTACCCCCAGTAGCTTTACATGCTTGTTAATTTTTAAACTGTCGAGTAGTAGCAGAATATTTTGTAAGCTTCAGTAATGGTTGCAGAGTTCAGTGCAGGGCAAGGGGAGAGGAAAGGGAGGGCGAGGGAAGGAGGCGAAGGAGTGAGTCCCATTTGCTTCCAGGACAGTTTTGTCTTTCTGCAAACCTTGGCCCTGAGGTAGGTCTAAACTTTCCTCTTTTACCATAGGAAAGGAGTTTAAAAACAGACAAGCCCTGTTAAAGTCTGTCGATTTTAAAAAAACAGTTCTTTAAAAAAATCCTTTTCAGTACTCAGTATCTCACAAAAGAGACCTCCTGTATTATTTTAACCTTAAAAAGCAAGTGAAAAAAAGATTCGTGTAGCTTCTGGTCAGCTACCAGAATCTTAAGGAGAAGAAAGAAAGATTTCTATCTGTTAAAAGTCTTGCATGCACTAGCGACAAATCCTGATGCTCTAATCTGTTCAGACTGCCGAAGCTCCCAGTCTGAATCTGTGGCCTTTAGAAAGGCAGCCTCTTGACCCCCAAGTATGTCTCCTCTGCAAAATCAGGGCGCGTCCTCTGTCCTGTCTGTGTACTTTTGTGGCGCCTATCACTGTGGGATCTGGGCTCAGAGACAAAAACATCAGGCAAAATACAAATTTGTGTATTATGGGAGGAAATGCCGTCTGGCTCCCTGGAGTCACCCTTGGCTTACAAGCAGGGAGGACTTTACCCAGGGTGGTTTGCATAGCCCAAGAAAAAGTGTGGACAAAGCCAACCTTACAGTACTTCCTTGTTTCCATTTAGAAAAGAAGCAACAAGTTGGTGTTTGTGAAGTTGAGTAAAATTACTAAAGCTTTAAAATGTGCTGCTAGCTTTTTCCATTGAAACAGGTAACAGCCTCTCAGCCTTCTACTCTAAAGAATGAGGTTTCTTCTCTCTTCTTTCCATTCCTTTCTCCTTCCCTCCTCCCTCTTTTAAGCCTTTATGCTTTCCTTCCCTCCCTTGTTTTCTCCTTTTTTCCTTGTGTCTTCTTCCCCTTTTAGTAAACTATGTTTGTTTTAACAATAAAGTAATGCACATTAATGATAACAATGACTTCTTCCAAGTAGAATAAAAGAATGTAAGGTGAAAGATAAAATGCTTCTCCAAAGATACACTACCTGAGATACAGCATGTCTCAGAACCTTTCCACAAGAGCTTAAGAGTCCACCCATGCTTAGTAGTCCATTGTGTGGTTTGCATCCTAATGAATTTAACCAGATTCTTAAATTGATATTAACAAGTTATTCTCTCCACGTTTGGGGAGATTAGAAACAATACAGCAATACGTGTCCTGGTACACTTGCACTTTTTGCACAGATGAGAGAACACACCCTTAGACTGAGTTCCTAGCAGTGAAATTGCTGGGTCAAAGGGTATGTAAATTTTACATTTTAATAGATATTGCCAAACTGCCCTGCAAAAAAGTTGTACCTATTTACAACCCTATCAACATTATATGAACTGCCGATTTCCTCAAAACTGCACCAACTCCATGCGCTATGAAACGCTTAAATCTTTGCCAATAGGCAATAAATGGCAACTAATTATTGCTGTAATTCATGTTTCAAGTATGGAAAACTGAACACTCTTTCACCTGTTTATGGCCTATTTGCATTGTTTTGTGGAATCTGGCTTTGACTACTGTTTATTATTTTTTTTTAGTCTTAAAAATTGACTTTAAAAGCTTTATCATTACTTTTATTTGTCAGATAAGCCACAAGTATGTTTCTCATTTGTCTGTTGTTTAAACAAATAGAAGTTTACATTATTTAAGAACTCAAAGTTACCCGCTTTCCCTTAAAAAGCATTTGGGGTTTGTGCCATGCACAGATGAGCCCTGCTTATACACAAAAAAGGCTTAGGACTCTTCTGTGCTTTCCCCCAGAGCTCTTGTGGGCTTGCTTTACACATGGAAATCTTTGCTGTTTTAGATTATGTTCTGGTGAATGGAGTGAGGTGGGGACTGGGTTTGAGAAAATTTTGTTGGCTCCACGTGGTTTTGCAAATCAACCTGCTGCTCCAGTGTTGTGCTGTAGAGGGAAGGTTTGGTGGCTCCTTGGAAGTTAAAAGGATCTGTGCAGGCTGTTTTTAAGATCCGGCAGAAGCTTACTCTTCTTGTTGGATAGAATATTCTGCTCTTGGGCCAGGCGTGATGGCTCATGCCTGTAATCCCAGCACTTTGGGAGGCCAAGGCAGGAGAATCATGACGTCAGGAGTTCGAGACCAGCTTGGCCAACATGATGAAACCTTGCCTCTACTAAAAATACAAAAATTAGCCAGGCACAGTGGCACATGCCTGTAATCCCAGCTACTCAGGAGGCTGAGGCAGAAGAAATGCTCGAACATGGGAGGCAGAGGTTGCATTGACCTGAGCTTGTGCCACTGCACTCCAGCCTGGGCAACAGAGTGAAACTCTGCCTTAAAAATAAAAGAATATTTTGCTCTTATTCTGGCTAACCTTTGAAGGAAGTCTCAAAGAGTACAAGGAAAAATAGCAAGAAGACGGTGGGAGAAAAATGGAAAATTGAGGGCTTCTGGGGAAAGGGAGAAAAACTTAAAATGGGATTAATCACTTATGTGCACCAACCTTAGAGCTAATAGGACCTATTTCTATTTTGACAACATGAACATAGAAGACAGAATCACTGAGCTGAAAAAACAATTGACCAGATGAATTATCTTTATCTTTTTCCATCTAGTTATGCTTGAAAAGAAAATAAGGAAATTAAAAACTTTTTTGTTAGTTTCATTTCAATAGTTTTGCAGTGTATTTTTTTTTTTTTTGGTTTAATAGATGAAAAGTCTTATGGGAGAGTCAAGACATTTCATTCAGTATATAGCCCAGGTTTTTAGCGTTCCTCCTACAGTTTCTAAATGTGTGGGGTGTTTTCCCTTTAAAGACCAAACAAGTTAATTGTACTAATCAGAGGTTTATATTTCTTGGCATGAATGATATGATATGCAGGTTGGCAAAGACCTACATGACTTCGATTTGCAGCATAAATAGTATAATCCTGTAGATCAAATTCCAGGTAATTTAGTTAAGTTACTGAAGGCATCTTTCCCCCAAGTGTCTACCTCATGGTAAACTGTGTAATTTGTATAATAATTATAGGTTGATTGATGAGGATTTGACTTCCTCATTAAAGGTTAAGGTACACTTTTTCTATTATTAATACTGATTACCATTTGTTGAGTATTCACTCTGTATTATATACTATACATTTACCATACTCAATAAATAGTTACGGGTGTGCAGTGTGTGTTTGTGTGTGTGTGTGTGTGTGTGTGTGTGTGTGTGTGTGCAAAAGAAAATAAGGAAATTAAAAACATATATATATATTAGAATTTCATCCTCATGTCTTACAAGGCCTGCAAGCCCATGTTCATTGTATTTACAGATGAAGAAACAGAGGCTCAAATAGAAGAATTACCTGGTATAAGATTACACAACTATTGAGTGCACAGTTGGGATCTAATTTAAGACCGTTTGACTTCAAACTCTGTGTACTTTCCATGATTTCATATTGTTTGTCCCTTGCCCCAAAGATAGGCCCAGATGCAATGAGAAGCAGGACCATTTCCAGTGGAAGTTTAGTTTCACATCAGCTTAAGGAGTCCAAACCAACCGCACGTTCTCCTGCCACCCCTTTCATCAGTTCTGCAGTCTACTTGTTGCTATGGAAACCACCTTTCTGAGGGTCCCAGGAGCCTCCATCCCTGCCCCTCAGTAGTGTTCCAACTCGTATTCCATTGTATATTTCCAGGGCTGTAAAAACCATCTCTGTGCTGATGTTTTCTATCTACTTCTCCAGCCCAGATCGTTCCTGAACTCCAGACAAGTGTATGCACCTGCTTCCCTGACAGCCCTCCTTAGATGTCCTGTCAGCGACTCAAACTCAATGTGTCCAAAGCCCAACTCTGCACTGTGGCCTGGGCCAAGGAGAGTGCCTATGGCGTGCTTTTGGGTAAGTCAGAAAAATGCACACTTTTTTCAAAATATCTTCTTTTCATTGGTGAAAAATTGTCACTGATATACAAAGTTTTTATGACTGTGACATGAATTGCATCCCGTTTATATGTGCATCGCATGAAGAGTCTGAATGACTGCATGCATGCACACGCGCGCACACACACACACACACACACACACACACACACACAATGCAAAGCCGGCCCCGCCTTGGTCCCCTGGATTCCCAGATGGCCTCACTGCCCGTCCAGTGTCTTCTTCTTGAGCTCCGCCTCCAGCCATCTCCCAGCCTGCAGGGACCCTGCCCACTCTCCATCCCCACCATGGCATGCTGATTCAGTGCTCTTACCTCACTTGGATGGTTGCAACAGCCTCTAGTGTTGCTGCTGGTCATGTCCCCTCCATTCTGTTTTCCCCAGAGCAGCCAGAATCATCTTCGTAGAGGATGATGTCAGTCTTTTGCTGAAAGCATTTTGGCTATTCCCCACTATCTTCAGAATGCAGAATGAGGTCCTCGTGGTCTGGTTCATGTCTACCTCACTCCCTGGCTTCCTTTCCTACACACCACAGGTTCTGCAGTGTGTATATGCAGACGATTTGCCCTTCTCTGAATGCACTGTGCTTACCCTGGCTCCATGCCGGTGCACATGCTGCTTCTTCCATCCGAAAAGCTTCCTTTCCACTCCTTAGCTCTTTAACTGCAGCTTATTCATCGTTCAGGTTTCGGTGTGAGACCACTGCTTCCAGGAAGCTTCTCCAATCCCGGTAGCCTGAGAGCAACACACCTCTTATGTGCCCACGTGGCATTTGGGACTCACCTCCATGTTTACAGGGAGAGCCAAAGGGCAGGGACTATATTGCACCTTGGCTTTTTCTCTAGTGCTATGGTGCCCGGCAGGTACTGAGGTGTCCACAAAACTTGACAACTGCACTAAGGTTCATAGAAGAATTTCATCTTACCCTTGGATTGCCTACTCATATAATTCATCTAGAATCTCTTTATTGTATTGAAAGCATTTGAGAAGAAGCCAAAAAGCCATAGATACAAAAGAAAATTATGACATCCATTGTTGAAATACATAAGGAACTCAACGACTCAATAACAAGAAATCAAATAACCCAATTTAAAAATGGGCAAAGGATGTGAATAGACATTTCTAAGGAGACTTACAAATGGCCAACAAATATGTGAAAAAATGCTCAACATTACTAATCATCAGGGGAATGCAAATTAAAACTGTAATGAGATATCATCTCATACCTGTTTGATAATGGCTGTTATCAAAAACAGATAAATGCTGATAAGGATATGGAGAAAAGGGAACCCTTGTACACTGTTGGTGGAAATGCAAATTAGTACAACCAGTATGGAGAACAGTATAGAAGTTCCTCAAAAAATTCGAAATAGAACTACCATAGGATCCAGTGGGTGTATATTCAAAGAAAATGAAATCAGTATGTTGAAGAGATCTCTGCACCCCCATGTTCACTGCAGCACCATTTACAACAGGCCAGATGTGGACTCAACCTAAGTGTCCATCAGTGCATGAATGGAGAAAGAAAACTGTAATGGTATAAATACACAATGTAATACTATTCAGCCATAAAGAGAAGGGAATCCTGTCATTTGCAACAATGTGGATGAACTTGGAGAACATTTGGCTGAGTGAAATAAGCCAGGCACAGAGAGACAAATACTGCCCGATTTCACTTATATGTGGCATCTAAAAAAGTTGAACTCATAGAAGCAGAGACTAGATGGTAGTTAACAAAGGCCGTGTGTGTGGGGTGTTGGAGAGATCTTGGTCAAAGGGTGCAAAGTTTCAGGAGAAATATGTACTGGAGATCTATTATAAAGCATGATGACAATAGTAAATAATAATGTATTATGTGTTTGAACATTGCTAAGAGAGGAGATCTTAAATGTTCTCACCAAAAACAAACAATAAGTATATGGTGATGGGTATGCTAATTAGTTTGATTTAAACACTCCATAATGCATGCATATCAAATCATCACTTTGTGTATAATCATATGTAAAATAAAGAACAAATTACTCTTTAACCCGAGCCTGGTGCTTTACAAACCCTCAAATATGGGAGATCTGCCCTTCCATGATTCTTGCTTCATTTATGGTGGCATTAAAAAGTTCCTTTCATAAAGGAGACTATTAATCTCTCTCTACCGCACTCTACCTTCCTCTCTCTCCCAGAATTAATTCTAGGTGTAGCTTTAGGTGATAGAAATGCAGAGCCTTCAGGATGAACCAGACAACTTTATCATGCTCTTAGAGTTCAGGCTTATCAACTGTTCATTTCCATCCTTAAATAATAACAGCTAAATTTAAGTAGTGCTTACTATGTGTTAGGCACCGCTCCAAGAACTTTGCATGTAATCACTCATTTAACCTTTACAGGAGTGCTGCAAGGTGATTACTATTATTATCCCCATTTTATGGGAGAGGAAACTGAGGCACAGAGAGGTTACCTTCTCAAGGTTACAACAGATGACACATGATAGGGCTGGTATTCAAATGTGGGCAGGCTGACTTCAGAGTCCATGCTCTTAATCACTGAACTACATAGTCTCTTAACTCCGGAGTTTTTAACTTTGGAAGTCAGCTCTAAACATAAGAGTTATTACTGGATTAAAGATCCCATGGTAGGCTCCCTGGGACCAAAGGCCCCTGTCCCCAGGCAAAGGCCAGTGACTCAACAGCTGAGACTCGAGGCATGGGGATCCCCATCTCAGCCTCTGTGTTGGGCTGGAATGGGCTCCCACTAGCTCACAGCACAGCAGCCAGGGGTTGTATGTGCAGGAATGTCCCATCCAGTGTTTGGCTGCTGATGGTTTGAGGTGGGCCATTGTGAAAATTACATTTTCACCATAGAATTCAGCAAATGCCACAAGCCAGAGACCATCTCTTAGATCAGTGTTCCTAGTGCAGGATTCCAATCTTGACTGAAAGGGCCTGGTGTGAGTGCAGAGAGCCTGCAGGGCTGAACTTCAGTGGGTTGGGTATTAAATGCTTTCAGCTGCCATATCTGCTAGAAGGTTCTCTCTAAAGGCATAGGAAGTGCTCAGCTCAATGCATGGCAGTGGGGACATGACCCCACCAACCCCAGGACCTCTCAACAAGTCACCCCTTTATCTATCTCTGGTGGGGTCATTTCCAGGCAGGTGTATCATACCATCCCCACAGTTTCTTCATGGCCTTCAGCACTAGCCACTCCCAGCAGTAGCTGGCTGGACACCTCACCTGTATCTGTTGCTTTCTGTTTACCAGCCCACTTCCCTCCTCCCCTACTGGTATTTCTGGCACTGCCAAGTTAATTTGTGCTCCAACTCTTTTACTAAGACAGGGGTTGAGCAGATAGGTCCCCCTGCATGCCATGGTAGGGAGTCCTTTGACAGCTGAGGGTGCAGCCCGGCTTGATCTCCGCTTCAGGGCCACGAAGCTCGGCTGCCATAAAATAAGATTGGCTGTATGAATTTCATTTTTTTTTTGTGGGGAGAACATTTAAGATCTCTTCTCTTAGCAATTTTGTTATGACACTGCTGGCTATCACAAGGGTCATGGATTGTTTCATTCATACCCGACACCTCTGCTAGTGAGGTGGGAAGCTGAGGCAGGGGAACTGCTTGAACCATGGAGGTGGAGATGGTAGTGAGCTGAGATCCTGCCACTGCACTCCAGCCTGGGTGACAGAGCGAAACTCACCGTCTTAAATATATAAATAAAATGCTAAGAACAGCAGCAGGCTTGGTATTCTTTTTACAGACTGCCATTTGTCGTTTCCCCAAGCTGGGGCTGTCCCTGTGCCTCTTGCTCCTTACTTTGAAGACCTGATTCTGCGGCTTTGCTGCCCCGCTGCTGGGTTTCATGGTGCATGACCCTGACTGCCCACCATGCCTTTCTTGCCTCTCTGTAGATAACTGCATGGCTGACTGCCCACCAGCGAGCCAGGGGAGAACCCTTTTCTCCAGGGAAGATGTGGTAAAAGTCTGATAGCGTTCCCCTTGAGGAAATGAGTGACATGCGCTCATTATTGCCATTCTGACAGAGCTAAGAGAGCTTGGGGCTCCTAAGTAGGCATTCCCAGAGCCACCTCAAGGATGGCAGTGTGAACCGTTGCTGGAGGTGCAAGAGTCAAGGCTTCTCCAGCAGCACACATCAGGGAAGCTGCCTGTTTGAACCAGTCTGCTCCCTGGGTCTGGCAGGGAACAGAGAATGGAGCTGATATGTTCGAGGACATGGATCCTGTTTATCCTTTAGATTCCTTGTGACTTAGACCTAAAGCCTGGCTTTGGCTACTGGGCATGCTTAACACTAACAATGTGTTTTCCTTCTCCAGAAGGACAGAGAGAGGAAGTGAGGGGAGGGAGTGAGCAACCCGCACCTCAGCGCACTGGCTGACCCAGGAGCCGACTAGAGGGGTGTGCATGGGGGTGAAAGGAGGTTGGGGGGGCCTCTTCCCCGACTCACTGCAATCCTGTTTGTCCTGTATCACTACTGTTCCCCTGGAGCCTGGGTTTTAAACATAGATTGCATGTTTTCTTAAGCCTGGGTTTGCTTTATAACTTTAGGTAAAAAGTTGTAGGCAGCAGGAAAACGATCAGTGAAAGGAATTTAACAGCACATTTATTTAAGTACAGATGGGCCCCGACTTATGATGATCCAACTTACAATTTTTCAATTCGGTGATGGGTTTATTGGGTTGTGACTGCACTGTAAGTCGTGGAGTATCTGAACACACTGGCATTGATTCGCATCCTGGGACAAAGGAAGAGGGACCCCCGGAAGGGAAAACTGATTGTGACCTCTGGGTGGTATAGCGTCGCATTTGCTATATTAATTGAATTTACTGCTGGTCACCACAAGGTTCGTGGATTGTTTCACTCACGCCTAACACCTCTGCTAGTGAGGGGCAGAAAATCAAATGCTAAGATTGACAGCAGGGTTTTCCTTTTGCAGACTGCCATTTGTGTTTGTGAACAGGTGTGTTCAGTACGCAGACTGAGTCCTCCGAGGCTTACAAGCTGGTCCACTTGGACCTTGCAATTAACAGAGGTGTGAGGAAGGGAACACTGTGTTTGTCCTGGATCAATAATTCCCTCTGTCTCCCTCCCCAGTCCCCCTTCCCCCAATTTTTCCCTTTTTGTAGAACTTATGCCCCATTTTTCTTATGTAACTCAACAGAATGACTCAAAGGGTGATATTTCAGGCAGCAGAGCGAGCTGGGGTGGGGGTTTGGGATTGGCGAGGCAAACAGAAAAGTGTGTGGAGAGAGATCTTATCGGGCAGAGAATTTGGGCTTCCTTCTGAATCACTCTGTGCAAACAGCCAGCCATTGGGCCTGCTTGTGGGCTGGGTCTTGATTCTATTGAATCAACTGTGACTAAAAGATACGGTAGTTTTAATTTCCTGTGACTCATGAAAGAGCCTTATTGGGCAAGATTTGTTGTAGGCCCCAATCTTTTGGCTGAAACACTTCAACTTTGCTCATGGACACAACTGGAAAAGGGGAGTTGGGCCGCCAGACGTCTCTTTTCAGTCACACCTCATCGTGAGGTTGCATTTTAGAAAACATGGGCTCAGATTCATCTTTGCTGGATCCAGATGGACTGATGTAGCCTACTGATTTCAACCCCCTGAATGAGCTCGACAAATATGTCTAAAGTAGATGCTGGAGTCACACCGGCATGGAGAGGGTGCTTGTTGAAGTCTTTGCCTCTCTCAACTCCAGGGAGAGGAACTACTTGGGCTTGAGGGTTTGTTTCAGCAAAAATCTAGCATGAGCCACATCATTTTGCACTTAACCATGATGAGGTCTTTTATTGCATTTATAAATGTCCCCAGAGGCTATTACTCAAAAGGGCTCGGCTAATAAATAGGAGAACTAATAATTATCTTATTTCAGATTGCTGACTGTGTGTAACTGCCGCAGGGGGTCAAAAGTGCCTGGTTTGCACAACATCTCCCCGGACTTCTTACATTTGTGGTTATGGAATCGGTGCAGTGAGGGGTCAGGGAGCAGAGGGATTTGCACGCGCTTGATCTCCTTCATATCAGAGTTGCTTTCTGAAATCCGGCACAGGGAAGGTGAGTGTGTTAGATGGTTTGCGTGGGGCCACGAAGTCCTGTAGGTGTTCAGTTTCAGCCCCTTCTGGGGAATTTCCCTTGCAGAGTTCTCATCCAGGCCTTAAAAGTTGGCAGCATCCCCCAGGAACGACCCTGTGAACAAATCCATGCTTCTGGAAGCATGTGAGTCTGCAGAAATACCACATTCTCTTCCACATGGGCTTTTGGCTCTGAGTCCCCCTGTGCTTCCTCAGCCTATGTACCCGCCGAAGAAGACAGTGTGTCTGAATGTGGGGAGGGTGGAGGCAGGCTTCATGCTGGCATGGTTTCACTCTTAGATGTTGGTGCTTGGCACATGCCCATATTGAAGTGCAGCGGGCACCAGGGCTGTAGACACCTTTACCCTGAGTGGAAAGGGGCTGCTAGGTACTGTGCATGGCTTAAGAGGTACTGAGAAGTTTAGCTTTGCCCTGGAAACATGCTCTGCTAGGTAGCTCCAGTTAGCTGAAATGCTGCAAATAAAGCTGTATCTCTTTTAACTTACACTGTTACTGGGAAGGTGTCCTGGTTTTGGCAACTCAGCAAGTATTAGCCTTCACTCTCTATGAGAATAGGTTTGTGGAGTCAGGGCTCTCGAGGCATAATTCACATACAGCAAACACTTCCACTTTCTTGGTGCACACAACACTGAGTTTGGCCAGTGTGTGCAGTCCTGAAGCCACGTCAGGATGCAGAGTGTTTCCCTCACCCCAAAGTCCCCTGTACCCTTCAGAACTGTGCCCACCATAGCCCCCAGCAACCACAGATCTAATTTCTGTTCCTTCTGCCTTTTTCAGCATGTCATGTACATGGGACCTAAGGTGGTAACCTTTCACCCAGCTGGAGACGTCAGAGAGTATTCGTACTGGGGACCAGCAGCCCGTGGTGTTGTCCCCCAGAGAGGGGGAGAGAGCTGCTGCCTGCAGAGGGGCTGCTCCTGCTTCACATGCCCCCTGCCTTCTGAGTCCCTCCATCCCCTAGCTGGGCACGAGAGTGCCAAGAGGCCCAGTAGGAGGAGAAGCCTTCATGGAGGACAGAGGGCAAGAGCAGGCCTACCATGCTGACTTCCTCGCCTTGTGTCTGGCTGACTGCACAGGCATGAGGAGGTAACCAACAACAGAAACAGATCCGGATGAACGAGCAAAAAAGACTTGACTGAACAAGTTTCCCCAGAATGGAGAGGAACTGGGGCAGCTCTGGAGACCCACAGCAGAAGCTGGTGGATCATTTCACTGACACACCAGGAGCAAATCAGTCCGACTTGTTTTTTGGCCCTTAAGTCTCCCTGCTCAAGGCTTAGAGCCCTGGATAATTGAAGGCAATCCCCATCCTGCATGCCATGGATGGTGGCTCCCCTGGAGGAAGTTGGGGTGCTGAGACTAGAGCATGCCTCTTCCACATGTTGACTTCCCCAGGAAAATACCAGCTCCCCTAAAGATGCGTCTGTCTGCCAGGGTGATAGTGTCACCCTTATTATTCCCTGGGCCTGAGAACTTAGCTGGAATATACTTCGTTAAATAGTAATGTTTATTCTTATTTGAGTTGTTTTCTTTTTAGGGCTTGTTTCTAGTTGCCACATTTATCTTCCTTCAGTGTTTCCACATTTAACATTAGTATTTTCATGTTATATTTGTAGGAACACATATACATTTGTTCCCATGACTTGAGCCCCTTGGTGCTAATTACATTGTCAGTTTTATGTTTAAGTTTTATCTATTAATTTTTTTAGAGATAGGATGTTTTTTCTCTGTCACCCAGGCTGGAGTGCGGTGACACCACCATAGCTCACTGCACCTTGAACTCCTAGGCTCAAACGATCCTCCCCCATCAGCCTCCCCAGTAGCTAAGACTACAAGCACAAGGTACCATGCCTGGCTAATTTTTATTGTTCTTGGTTATTTTTATAAAAAAAAAAAGTTATTTTTTTTTGTAGGGAAGGCGTCTAATTATGTTGCCCAGGCTGGTGTCAAACCCCTGGTCTCAAATCATCTTCCTACCTTGGCCTCCCAAAGTGCTAGAAGCACCCAGGCTATTGCATTTTTAGGTTATATCAACTCTGCTACACTACCCTAAGAATTGCCTTTGGACTTTGTCCTTAAATAAACAAAGGACTGAGCTGATCCTATCAGCCCAGAGCAGCAGCCTGGGAGCCACCATGGGACCCAGAAAAGCAGCCCTAAATGCCTTGCTTATGATGAAATCTCTTGAAAATAACCCAACTTCTGTCTCCTGCCTGTGAAATAAGCATGGCTCTCTAATTCTCAGAGCTGGGATTTTGTGAGAAAGTTGTCAGGAGCACACTGGGGGAAATGTAATTAGAAATACATGTTATGATCCATTAGAATGACAAGTTGTATATGTGCATCGTACTTTAAGGCATCCAATATAGTCTGCTGTGTTTGTGAGTACTTTAATCATGTGAAAGAATGCTATCCTGAAACTTGTCCCTGAGATTCACACTTGATCTCAAGTTGATTGAGTTTGGGGAAAAGAAAAAAAAAACACATTAGCATGTTATTTTTTGACATTATATGAGGGTTTTCATGGATGTACACTGTGAGGGAGGTGTGCGAGACATGTTCCAGCCCAACCCTTGTTCTTATGAGGCTTGGAGGGATGACTCGCTTCCTTAAGGTCACCCAGCTGTGTGAGTCACAGCTGGAATTTAGACTAGGGTCTCCTTAGCACCTTCATTCTGAGTTCTTTCTTGAATGGGCAACTTCTGTGATTTGGAGCATGACCAGACATTTAACTACAGTGGGTAGAGCCTGCCAAAGGTTGCAAAACTTTTCTACTTCTTTCTTAATGGCTAGGAATTGGTGATCAGAAATAACAAATACATGTCAAGGATGTTAAATTGTATAATATTTTCGGACATGATAAAAAGGCTCAATTATGGCAAGCCTTCAAAGTTAAACTGTTCCTGAAAACAGTGACAAAGAGGGTCCAGGAATGGTAAGGGAAATGTGGTATTTTGTTCATGTTTATGTTTGGCTGCAGTTGACCAAAAACGAAGGTTGATACAATTCTCTCTTCCAGGCTGTGTATAAGTTGGCAAATGACAGGAACAACATTTGCTTCTAATCACCCATCCATCTTAATAATGTCGAACAGAAACAGTGCAGAAACTATTGCACAACCACCAGCATTTCATGACATCAGAATCCTTGCCAATTTGAAAGAGGTCCTTGAATCTGGGGAGAGTTACATCTTTATGTTTTTGATCATGATCCTCTTGGAAGATACTTATTAGGGCCATTTGTTGATGACAACATTAAGAATTAACAAATTATCTTCTTAAAGTATAACAAAAATTTAATGGTTTCATTAGAGAACTATAAAGTCTGTTATTTAAGAGGGAACTATTGTGCTGTTTAAAAGGAAAGAATTACTGAAGGACTCTTCCTGGTCTTCTTTCTACAACTGAGGCAACTCAGCTATTGTATGTAGTCAAAGGAATTTTTTTAAAAATTAGTAAAGAGAAGAGCAGAATCTTTGTACATTGGATGCCAACCAAGTCTCCTAATACCTGGGAAGTTGTCAGTCACATAAATGCATAGAGTTTGCATTTTTTTTTTAAGCTAAAAAAGGAAAGTGAATTATTCTAAGAAGTTCTACTTTCTCCTTTACATGGGAAAAAGGCCATTTCTGTTATTTGGGGCCTGGTGTGGGAAAACAGGAAGGGTGTCTGATGAGAAGTGCCCACCTGTAAGTGTGTGTCACCAGAGGGTAGGAACTGCTGGTCATTCCAGGTTCCCTGCAGACCCCTCTTTCTAAGCAGAATTCTGCTTGCAGCCCTTGCGGGGGGTTTGTATCTGGCATGCCTCGGAAGTGAGAGCTAGCGGAGCCACCTCCCTGTAGGGGGCTGCATTGTCTGGTGCACGGAAGCTCTAGGGTCTGGGTGCCCACATGCCGTCTCCCAGGCGGATGTGGTCTCCTCTAGAAAAAGCTAGTTCTGGGTGAAGTGGGAGGTACAAAAGGCAAGTTTTTCATGCGGCAGAAACCATTTACGGGCATGGGGAGTCTAACGACCATTGTAATAACAGTGAATTGAGACGATGATTATCTGAACGGTTCAAAGAATTCTGAGCTGGGAGCTGGAACCTCTGGGTTCCGGACCCACATCTGCCACTAATGAATATGTGAAGACATACTGGGGGACCCCATTTTCTCCGGTGCAAAATTAGGGTTTCTTACTGGGCTTGAAAGTATGTGGTTGATCCAGGAGAGTCGTTGAGTTTAGCTTTGTATTGTGCATGTGAAAATACATCCTCTGAGGCCGAAAAAATACCAACTTTGTGAAACTGTGCAACAGTGGGACCAGAGTGGCCACAGGTGCTTCTTAGGGATGCTTCAGAATTCGTGGGCTACACCCTGGGGGTCCCCTAGGAGAACCCATCTTGATCTGTTCGGGGTGGGACTTTCTGATTTTTAAAAATTTATGTGGGATGGGAACCGTGTCTTAGTAGAAAGGAAGCTTCAGACTGAGGAGACTTATGACAACGAGTACGTCGCTTCCCAGAGATGTTTTCAGCCCCCAAAGGCAGCCGATGTGGTCCCTGTCTGCAGAGAGGGCCCCCGGAGCGCAGTAGAGGCCAGGCTGGGCGGGGACGGCGGCGCGGCGGTGCACTTCTCCCCACCCAACTGTCCACCGCGGCCCTGAGGGGTTTTCGATGGGGTGGAAGGGAACTGTGGTCGTTTAAACGCGCGGACAGGGCGGGCGGCGGCCGTGGGGGGCCAACTTGGGTTGCTTTGAAAAGGGACGCACCGAGCTCTGGACCCACAGCTGCAGCTCCAGGAAGGCCTGACAGGTGTCAAAGGGCGTTTCCCAAACCAAACAGACCCCTCGCCCCCCCGCCCCCCCGCTTCGGCCGAGGGTCACTCGGCTGCCCCGCAGCCTGATGTTTGCGCAGCTGGACCTGGGTTCTTTTGGCCCGGGAAGGGCGCACTGGGGCGGGGGTAGGTTGGAGGAGGGGGCGGGGAGAGGGGTGGGCTGCCGCGGGGAGAGGCGGGAGGCGGGGACGGGGGGAGGGGTAGGCTGGAGGAGGGAGTTGGGGTAGGGGTGGGCTGGAGCAGAGAGGAGTGGGAGGCCTGCCCTTGGGGGAGGGGGGCCACTTGGGCTCGACCAGGCCCCAGGGCCTGGACACTGTGAGCGCCGAGCTCTCCACCCGCGCCTTCAAGGAATGTAGTTTTCTGGGCATATGCTGAAGGAGCTGTCGGGCTCGAGAGGTCCCACCGCCGCCGTGAGGCTGCTGCCTGAGGCCAGGTTCCTCGGGGACCCAGCCGCCTTTCCGAGGGCGGATGTGCCTGCCGCGACGTGCGGTTCCGCGGAATTCCAGCGTCACCTGAACTAAAAGCAGCTCTGCAGCTTTCCGCGGTCATTGAGAAAACGGGAGCTGGTGCTGACGCCCTTCCTTCTGGGCTGCCTCCGGCCCAGCACCGAGAAACCGAAACTCCCCGGGGCTGGGGGTGTGTAGGAGGGACAGGGAGGGGGCCACAGCCCAGGACCCTCCAATTCCTCCCGCCCCGCCCAGCCAGTGTGATTGTCCTTCCGGTCGTGGGATGCCAAGCTTGGAACTGGTCATGAATAGGGGTGCAAAAGTCATGCGACTCTTAGGACTTTAGAAGCCCTTACAGTCCCTGGGGAAACAGGACTTTAGAAGCCCTTACAGTCCCTGGGGAAACAGAGAAGGGGCCCAGAAGCCAGGAGGGGACAGCAGTCTACCAGACTCCAGCGTGTTCATTAGCAAGGAAGGATTTATTTTTTCTTTTGAGGGGAGGGCCGAACAGCTGTGATTTTTGGAACACTACCTTTGTCTTTCACTTTGCTGTTTTCTGTGTTAACACGAATAAATCAGAAGCGACTTTAAATCTCCCTTTGCAGGACTGAAAACTGGCTTTACAAAAAATGTTAAAGTAGGCGGCACTTTGCCTCTGTGGGTGAGGCACGCAGCGAGAGAGACAAGGTCCCCTGAAACCAGAGGTGGAAAGGACTGAGCTGGCTGACTTCCCTCCTCTCCCTAATTCTCTCCTCCATGTGTTTTCAAGAGGAAAGCAACATGAAAAGGTCTGATCATTTCTACCCAGGGAACTTTTTGTGCCCTGCCCCTAGTTGCTGGTCTGTTTCAGGTTTATTTTTGGGTAGGATTATTGGCCCTGTGGGTGCAAATGCCTACTTCTTGCCATAATTCAACTCTATTATTATCACTGTTTATGACTATTACATAGATGTAATCCAAATCAGTCAAGACTCATCATCTGTTAACCGAATTTATGGAAGACATTTTTCTCTCCCATTCCTGCCAGAAGACACCATCCTGAAATAAATGCCACCCTCCTTCCCCACTTCACTATATGTAGAGCTCAAATCATCCTCCTGTCGTGGGTAACACGGGATCTACCCAAGAATGGCAGCCATGGCAATAAGGCCTAAGCTTCCAGTCTCTGCATATCCCACACTTTGTATTACTCTCTAGAATTCTGCAATCCATGCACTGTTAGAGC